AAAGTAGGACCGAAATACCAGTGTTCAGCGATTTTGTGGAGCGGGCTGCGCCCGCTTTATACACATAAGCATGGAGAGGATACTGCATAAACGATACACATGAGTTAAAGCAAGAAAACACCCGGGGAGCCAGCTCGTTCGCCGACACCGAAAGTTGGATCGAACTACCAGCGTTAAGAGGTTTTGAGCAGGCTGCGCCCACTTTTATCACATATGCATCCAGAAATCACTTTATACACTATACACATGCGGAAAATCAGGAAAACACCCATGCAGCCAGCCCGCTCGCAGAGATTCGAATGTTTGACCGAACTACCAGTGTTCAGCGGTTTTACCCGGTATCCGCGCGCTGTATTCACGTATGCGACCAAATTTTATGTACAGTACCCCGGAATTCGAAAGTTGGACCGAACTACCAGTGTTCTGTAGGTTTTGCGCGGGCTGCGCCCGCTTTTATTCAAGTAATGCATGCCAGAAGATACCGCATTACACGTTACACATGCGGGAAAATCCCGAAAACCCACACATTGAGCCAACACGGTCGCTTGGATTGCGAAAGTTGGACCGAACTACCAATGTAATCAGAGGTTTTTGACGCGAATTTCGGCCCGCTTTATTCACTTATGCATCCAGAAGATGCTGCGTACACGAGGCACATGCGTAAAATCACGCAAACACCCATGGACCCAGCCCGTTCGCCGGGATTCGAAATTAGGACCGAACTACCAGAGTTCAGCTTTATTCATTTATGCATCCAGAAGACACTGCATACACAACAGATATGCGTAAAATCACAAAAAAAACATGAGTGTAGCCTGCCTGCTCACCGGGATTCGAAAGTTACCGTATACCATCTCAAAGGAGCAAAGAAAAATCTTTAATCTAAAAAAAAAAAAAAAAAGTGTGAATTTAATTTTTATTGGTGCGAACTTATTTAAAATATCATTTGCATTAAAAGATAATATCTAAATAAGTGCACGTATCTAATAACATAAAAAATATATTATTCCAAAAAATCAAATTTATTATTAAAAAAATAACAACATATTTTTAAAAAATAGCTTTTTCAGATTTTTTAATTAATATCCCAGCTGATTAAAGTTGTACAACTTCAAGAACGTCATCATTTAAATTTAATGTAATATAATAACTTTTATTCATATCAATAAAAGAATTAACGTGACAATCATCCTAACCTGAAATTAAAAAAAAAATTGTGAAAAGCAGCTGTATTTATTTAAAATGCCTACATTAACGAAATATTTTAAATACAGTGAGGTAACATGCAATCGCGTGCTTTATTCAACTTTAGAATATTAACCTTGATTTTTATCTGCCGGCGATTCAAGAAACTGTTGCAATCGGAAAAAATGAGCGCGAAAAATTAGGCGTTTTCACAGTTTTTAATTAATATCTAAGCTTGATTGAAGTCGTACGGAAGATGAGAATGGTATCAATGCATTTCGAGAATTTTTTGGAATCCGGCAGATACCTGCTCTCGAATTCCAACTCAGCGCCGTTCCATAGATTATTTAAGGAAATAAAGAAATTGACCACGTGACCTTTTCGCCAGCACAAATCTCGAGCGGAAGCAATTTCCCCCCCCCCCTGGCGCTTTCGGAAAAAGCCGATTTTATCTCAGCTAATTCCGAGACGGTTGCCACTCCGAAAAATGAAATAACGTTTTCGCAGTTTTTAATTAATAAAACTCCGCCGATTATTGTCGTACGAAGATGGGACCGGTATCGATGGATTCGTTGATTTTTTTCGAATCGGAGATATGCGTTTCGAATTCCAACTCGGCGCCGTTCCCATATTCGAGAAAAACGAATTTGGCACTCGGCCAAATCCCTAAAAAGGGAAAACGGGTGAAAGAAAGTGCAAAAACGTAGGGAAAACGTAGGGAAAAAGCAGTTTTTAATTAATATCTCGGCTAATTAAAGTCGCACGAAGATGCCGATGGTCAATATGGCGAGCCACGGGAATTCTGAATCCAACGGTACCTTCCGCTAAGCTCTACACCCAGCCGTTCTTGAGAAGATGATGTTACAAACACACAAACAGACAGAGGCACACAGATTTTAATAGTATAGATTTTTTTAATATATGCATATGCAGTGTAATACATTTTTAAAATATCAACAAACATTAAATCATAAATATATATACTCCTTAATATAAAAATGACATAATATTGGCATTATTGAACCTATGTTCACATAAAAGTACATTCAGAAAATTTTACGATGTGGGTTAAAAAATTATATTTAGCATCAATTTCAAACAAAGTGTATACATATTGTATGATCCTAGATGGCCATCCGGTAGGTATACATCTACAAGGTATTTCTACCACCTTTTTAAGCAGGCCTTCTCCACCCCCAGAATTGGAAAGAAACCTACTTTTAAAGGGGGAACATATAAGGCATTTCTCCCACCTTCATAGTGTAACGTTCAGCACGCTCGGCGCATAACAAGTTTTCAGCCATGGTTTTCTGCGATTCAATATGAATCCATCTTTAAAAATATCTAAGACCCTTAACATCATAGAAAATATTGAATTAAGATTTGCTTTGTAACGCCTCTCCCCCAGTAATGCCCAAGTTTTACAATTTCATTTCATCTGAAGATAGTGTAGGAAGATAAAAATCTTGTTGCAAGTGATAACATTTATGAAGTTCAAATTTACTTCAAATCGACCACACAAATTCATTTGTTATTTGTTTTAAGAAGGAGAGCAGACGATTTAGCATAAATTGTTGTTACATCCACATTTAGCACTACACTATGCATTCACAAAATCCACCACCTTCCTAACTTCTTTCTTTATAGCCACTCAAGCATAAATGAACTTACATTCTTCCTAATCAAACATCAGTTAACAATCAAAAACATTCTGCAACTTTGTTAAAATTGCAATTTTAAGCTAATAAACTTGTAAAACAAACTAGAAATGCAAACAATGCATGACAGTAATATGAATTTATTCTTGAATTTTCTCCTGCTTTTTTAATGCATAATTATCTTAATTTTCAATTAAATTCTTAAATTCAGGACGTGAACTCTCCCCCATGATGATCAATTCCTGAAATTATTCACACCAAAACCTGTTTGCTCAAGCATAAATGTTGCTTTTTGTTCAATGCTTAAAAATTTTAGCTGAACCATTCTCCCACCACTCTTAGGGCAAAAAGAGAAATAATTTATTATTTATTCTTATTTATTTTGGCTCTATATTTATCCTGTTAATCTTGCTTGGAGTTGTTCTAGACATCATATGTTTGGCATGATTTGAGTGTCTTCTCTATAGCATGAGGGCAGACACAAAGAAGGCTCAAACATTTTTTCCCAGAATTCAGAAAGCGGTAGCAACGAACAATATGGAATAGAGACATCAGATCCTGCTCATAGAATTGGTTATTACTAATGCCAGCTGCTCTTAAGCACAGAGTATTCCAGAAGCTTTAATCTGAAAGAAAGTACTAATAAAAATGGTCACTTTAAGACAACTTTATGCAATGTGACAGTGAACATCTCTCCTCTAAAGCACAATACAGCTGTAGGGATCAAATTTCATCCTAGTGTGGTTGTAGTTCACCTTTAATTACTAGTTATGTAGAATACTACGAAAACAAAAGATATACTCTGCAATTTTCTTCTTCCTCAGTTTTAGACTGGCAGAAGTAATTGCATCAGTATTCACATCAACATCAGGAAGATTTTCATTATAATTAAGGAATATAACTGCAAGGCACAATTAGTTCACAACAGGCTCTCATCACATTGAACAATGTTGTTATCCACAGTATAATACACTGCCATTATTTATGAATAGACTTGTAGTTTATTATACCATTTAATGCCATCCCACACAAGCAAGATTACACTTGAGGCAGCTTTTAAACATTTCCAATTAAGTGCTATCTACTGTGCCACTTGGACTGGTATAATGTCTAGTCCTCTTAGATGAATGAAGGCTGGGAACTTAAGTAACAAAAGAGACCAGAAAATCAGAATGAATTTAAATGTACTTCATATTTTAAAATCTAGAAAGAGAGCAATATCGAGTTGCAGAACACTTATATGCTGACTGAAATACTTTATAAGTTTCTGCAGCTGTTTTATCAAGATGAAAACAAAACTGAGTGGTATAATATTAGTCACAAACATAAACACAAGCAAAATAGTATGTCGTGGAATAGTCGTCGTCTTTGGACTTAAAAAAAAAAAAAAAAAAAAAAGCAATAATGGCTTTTAATAAATATTCAATGAAATTTTTGGTATAGCTTTTCTAAGTAGCATAAAATGCATATTTAAATAAAAACAATTTACTGATGTATTTTTGATTTTCAGGCATATATTTGTTTTGCTGTTGCCTTCATAAGAATTACCATATTTGCCACCGTATAAGGCACATTTTTTTTTTTTTTTTCCTATGAAAATAGGTCTGAAAAACGCAGTGCGTCCGATACTTGAGTCTTATACGTTGTTTGTGAAAGTGTCAAAGCTTCATGGGATGCTGTGTAAACAGAGATAGTGGTTAAATCATTTAAGAAGTGTGACATTAGTAATGCACTGGAAAGTACAGAGTACAATTTGTTGTATGAAGACTCAGATGCTGATTTAGAAGAGGTTTCAAGTGGCTCTTCATTTAGCTCTGGAGAAGACTGTCTGCATTTTCATGAAGGAGATTGAAAGGTGGCCTTTCCCAGATAAATTTGATATTTTTAGAAAGTATTACTTTGTATTACTTTATATTTAAAATATCGCAAATTTATTATAATGATCAGTAATAAAAGTTTTATCCTTAAAAAATGTGCATAAAAAAGGGGGTGCATCTTATATGCTAACAAATACAGTAAATCATTAAATTATGATTTGTACATTAAACAGGCAAATAACCCTATAAAATTTGAAGTTATAATAAAGATTTTTCATTTTATACATCATAACTTAAGCCATAATTTTTAAAGTCTTACAAACAGTAGCTACCAATTTACCTTATGTGTTCTTAATGTAGACATACAAAAGCCTTTATGAGCATTCCATACTTTAACAGTAGTATCACTTGATGCAGATATTACTATATAAAAAGAAATATTATTTTACAACTTTCAAAAACAAATAATAATTATTCCAATCAATATTTTATAACTTCCAAAATAATAATTAATTACCAAAATTATACTAAAGCAGTTAATAAAAGTACTTATAAGACATTTCATAAAAATTCCAAATATACAACAAATTATTAAAAGTATTAACGATATAAGTGCAATAAATGTATGCAAAAGGTAAAATATACAGGTCAGAAGATCTACAATGTTATCAGTAATTTTTATACATACAGACCTCAATTTTCTGCATTCCAGCATGAATTAGCCATGGGTTAATGAATAACACTTTATTATGAGGCAGCTAAACTTAAAGCACTGTAAGTGAAGTTATGATAATATGACAGCAAAGTAAAGCCAATACAAATCTTGATAAAGGTATAGCAAAATTCATCCAGGAAGACAGAACAGAGAAGTTCTGCACAGAAAATGACTAAAATTTTGCCTCAGGCATTTTGTAACAAATAATTTAGAAATACTTGAGGTGATTCAGTTAAGCAATTAATACCTACACAGTTTCTGTTAATACAGTATATTCAAAACACAAACCTGTGAATGCAGAATTATTTGGAATGATATGTCGCTCATCATTCCTTCATCATTATGAAGTTGTCCATTTCTCATTCTTTGAGCTTGATGGTTATTTCTGCATTTAGACAGGCCATCAAACTTTTCTTGCCATACAGTATTGTGCCAATTATAAAGTTCATTAGAGTTCCCAAAATAATATTGCTGTATACATTTCAAAATATTTAAATAATTTGTATCACATTGTAATAGTGTACACTGATTTATTTATTCAGTTATTTATTTGTTGCCTTTAGGATCTGTTTTGTATTTGTGGCCTTATCTTTTGCATGTAAGAATTTGTTCCTGGTATGAAATTGCTGATCTATCAGTTCTGAGTATGACAATGCTTAATTGTTAAAATTGCTCAAGTGGAACACATTTATGGGCCTGATGGGCTCCTCATGGGAATTAGAAACTGATTCTTCCCATTACTCTATCAACTAAATGGTCGGGCTTGAATTGTTGGGCCCATTTCAGTGCAGCGAAATTAATAAAAACCGTTTTTTACTCTTTATAGTATAGTACAGTCAAAAGTCGTTAATTCGGAATGATCTATAATCCGGACCTCAAAACTAAAATCTTTCTGCGCATGCGCCACATTGACACATGCGCATAGGCGTTTACGCGTGCGCGTAAGACCTTTTACGACTTGCGCATATGCGTGTGCGCAAGTGCAGCAGAATACGTTTTCGCGTGCGCGTTTTATGTATAATGGACGTATAAGCTAAAATTATCTAATTATCTATTTCAGTTAATGTTGATGATTGCGTTGTTCCTTAATTTTCGAATTGAATCCGGCTTATTATTTTTTGCAGACTGTAAGAGCAATTTTATAAAAGTAAGCTTAAACTTTCGATTATATCAAATAGAATTTCCGATATATATTTGTTAATATGTAAAGGATCTAAGTGAAAGTATGTTTTGAAATCCGAAATCTGTTTATCAATTTCACGCTGCTCGGCGGGGGCATCGCCGCGGCGGGCGCGTAATGAATTGGAAGTTGATCTGTCAGCACTATCCTTATCTTCAGCGCAGATGTTTTTATTTTATTCGGCTTAATAATTCCTTACCAAATGTAGTATTTCATCTCGATATGCTCCGTCTTTGATATGATTTAAAACAAGTTCCTCGTCATTATAATTCGCTTTCGATAGCGAAGAAAGTGACAGAGGTTACTGAAAACGAAAAAATTTCGATTGACAAATTTAGTCGGTGTTCTAGACACAGCAATTATAGGACTTGAACGGCGGAACTTTGTAACTGAACAAGAAATTATGTCTGTTTAATAGAATTAAAGAGAAAGTATTATCACATGAAACGAAGCAAAACTTAAACAACTTACATTGAAAGAAATGTTTAATAAAGTAAACAAATAAATATTAAGCTTTTTCTTTTTGCAAATTTTGATACCCTTTAGATCATAATTGTTCTTTATTTCATAAATTACGGTTTCATATTTTAATTTTAGAATTTCTGCATGCCATCTTACGAGATTTAAACTGATGATCTATAATCCGGAAAAATCGATAATCCGGAATCGCCGAAGTCCCGACGAGTCCGGATTAACGACTTTTGACTGTATATCATTTTTCTAAATAGGTCAAAATAGTCTCCCTGAGAATAGCCTCTGCAAAAACAGTAATAGATTCCTTTTTAAATACATATGTCTTAAAATACCAAGGTCCGTTAAAATTAATTTCTGACAACAGCAAACAGTTTGTTTCCCAAATATCTGAAGTGCTCTGTACAGGACTTGGCATATGTCATCTAAAAATGGTACCTTACCAGCTGCAGGCCAACACAGCAGAACGGGTAAACAAGAACATAGTGAAAATAATACACTGCTATGTGAGAAATTATCACAAGGGCTGGGACAGTGGGGTGGGGTCAGTGAGTTAGCTTATGCATTACAAAGAGCGAAGCATGATACTACGGGGAAAAGTCTTTTATTCTTAAGCCAAAAGTTAATTATGCTGCTGGACAAGTTATTTTTTTAAGTTAGACCCAGAATTCCAAATGAAAGATATCCAAAAGCTAACAGATGAAGCACTTAAAAGTACAGATAGGGCAAGGGAGAAACAAAAAGCATAATATGATAAAAATTGCAGAGAGGCTCATTATAAAGTGGGAGATAAAAGTTTTAAAAATTAAGCACTCATTATTATCAGCAGGTGACAAGAGAACTGCCAAATTATGTTCTAAATTCCAAGGCTCATGCATTGTAGAAAGGATTAGGGAAGTCGTAGTCTACTTGAAAAGTAAAGCTGGGGAACAAGTAGTTGCAAATGTGGATGAAATTAAACATTACTATAACAGAAATAAAATTAAAATATTTAAAAGTATTTTACAGGAAAATCAAGGCGAAAATGCGAATGCCGCGAGGAGCAGTAACAGCGTGCAAACTCAGATGGAAGTGAAAATGTCATCGTTGAAAAGAAAAGCAATAATGAGCAAATTAGAACATGCAAAGAAGGCCATAAATCAAATGGAAGCAAGGAAGCCAAAGTGGCCAACACATAGCGATTCCATGAGGCAATGGAAACCACCAAAAGATGTGCGAAGTATGAAAAAATGCCAAAAAGGAGTTTCAAGTACCAGACTCCAAATATGGAAAGGAACCAATGTTGAGACAACTAAGAAACAAACATCCAGCAGAACAAGCTGCGAATGCCCCATGGAAAATCCAGCGTGGCCAATTGCATGATTGAGGGAAGGAAAGACCTGCATGACTGAGGGAAGGAAAGACCAGTGGAGAGTTCGACAAAGTTTTATTTTATATCTAAAAGGACTAGTTGCTAAATTAATTTAAGTTTTACCTCAAGTGAGGTTATTCTAGTTCTTTTCCAGAGCAAAACAGCTCAGAAATAAAACTGTACCCAACTGTGTTTATTTTAATGTGCTCAAGAAATAAGAATGCAATTTTAGTCTGAGAGACTGTTATCAGGAAATGCGAGTGCAAATACTAAGAATTTCAAAGCAACTCGTGTATCTTGATGTAAAGCGCAAGCTGAATTTTATTGTTAGTAGCTTATTCAATGTATTACATTTTGTTTTCTTGTGAAAAGTACTCTCAAATACATGTTTAGTTTAATAAGACTTGACTAGTTATAAGAATTTAATTATACTGTATGAATGAAATGTGATATGCAAGCTATTAAATTGAGAAAAATTAAAGTAAAATTAGCTGTATGCATGAGTTAAGTTAGAATAGCTCACCAAAACTCAAGTCACCCTTTAAAAGTTTTAACAATTGCACAATTTTAATAGCACATTAGAAGCAGTTTTGCAAATAGGGTGTTTTTGAGGTCTTGAGTGACATGTACTACTAACACTTAGATTGTTGGCTACTTGGTAAGTCTGTAACACACTTACAAAAGATGCTGTTTTCGCTGTTACACTCCAGTTTTTCTGGACAGCAATGGGTGAAGAGATTTAGTTGTGGAATAAATGTGTGGCATGAGAGAAAATATAATGAAATATTTTGTGAAAATTATTTATTATGTGTGCAGAACATTTTTCTAAAGTCCTTTCCCTTCCAGATTCCCTAATTGTAAGAGGTGGGCTCTGGGTAAGGTTAGGCAGTTTAGATAGTTAGAATTTAAAACGCCCATTAAGACGAGATTTAACGATGTCATTAAGGTCCTTTTATGTGTACTTAAATTATGGCAAGGAAAGATGTGAGGTTTTATCTTATTTTTAACTAATAGTTAAATTTACTGCTTTTTTGTCTCTCTCTTTTCACCCATGCTTTTTATGCCAGAATGTAAAGGAGATAGTGAGTGTTTATTTAGATTAAGGAGAAAGAAGTGCTATTTAAGCGAAGGTTAAGCAAGTTAATTTTGGAGCATGTTCTGCGTATTCCAAGCCACGTTGTACTGTGACTATTAGTGATTTGATTCCGTGGTGTTGAGTGTTTCTAGCCTTTTAGCTTGTCTCACTGATTTTCTACAAACCAGAGCCCTTCCTGCATGTTTAAATTATCCTGTGAACTATTGGGCTAATCTAGTACATTTGAATTAGTTAACCCTTTGACGTGCGGTGGTCGTGCCCTGGAACCACCAATTTTCGAATTTTTTTTCTCCTCTTCCTTCCGAAACTTTTCAGTGAAAATCTATTGATAACTGATCTTTTACCTCTAAATAACACAAAATGACTGCAGAATCATACATGTTTTAGGTCTTAGTACTTCAAATCGGATGCCTTTTAAAGTTCATTTTCAATGAGAACTTCCTTTTGTTAATATAAACAACTTTAAATTTCAAAAGTTTTTCATCGCACATCATGATTTCTATCAGAAACAATAAAAAATAGCAATAATTAAACTGAATACATAAAAAAAACCCTATATGTATTGGCATTTGCTTTGTAGTTTCAGGGTGCGACCACTGCACCACTAGAGCATTGTAACACAATGCTCCAGAGGCTCAGTGGTCGCACCTTGAAACCACTGCTCTTCATAATGGCATTTGCTTGCTTCTCAAATTGGAATGTTTATTTTTACCTGGATATAGATAAGAGGTTTTGAAACCACAGAGTTATTTTATTACTAAACAATAAATGCACCTGCCCAGTAAAAAGGTCTTTCTTTTCCAGAGACTTTTCTCTTACCTCAACACACTTGCTCCCCAAGTTATAGTATTGTGATTTTATAAATTATTTCATGTGGTTTAAATTTAATGTAAATATATATTGCTATAATTAAAAATAGAAATTTTGTAAAGTTTTATTTAATATTTTCTGAATATTTTGGGACGAAATACGAATAAAATACGTATGAATGGAAAACGAATGATCCGTACCAAAGCCAAAAAGACCAAACTCCCTCCATTAACATAAAAAAACCACAAATGTCATGTGCCAGATGAAAAGAAACTAAATAACTCTGGACACAAACCAATGAAATTTAGATCCAGGCAGTGTACATTTTGTTGCACAAGGAAGAAACCTCATAGAAGATACATGTGAAACGTGCAATGTGGGTCTATGCATGTACCAAAAAGACAAAACTTGCTTTGAACAGTGTCACAAAAAATATTTGTTCTTTGAAATTAAAAAAAAACACTGAGTCTTTTTTTTATCCTTATTTTACTGAGTTTTTTAATCCATTTAGCCAAACGTTCTTATTTATGTAGGTACTTATATTTTCACTGCTATAGAAAAATTACATAAATGTTTATTTTTTAATTTTTCCTGACGATTTACTTTGTAAAATATTGTAAAAAAATTATATATTATGCAATTCCTAGATACATTTTTTAAAAATTCGTAAATTTCATCATTTATTGAAAACACGCACAGAGAAAGGTAAGTTTTCCCTCATACTACCTAGGTAGATTTCAAAGTTTTAGACGCAATGCGGTTTCACAGTGCGACCACCACTCACAGAACAATGGTCAAGAGTAGATATTTTAAATTCATATATTATTTGTCTCTAGGATCACAATATTCATTTTCTAGAGTTTTTAGTTAAAAAAATTATAAAAATAATATCGCGCGTCAAAGGGTTCAACTGTAGAGACATTAGGATATTTTGGAGGCAGGAGAGATGAAAAACTAACAATCTCCTTCACCAGGGAATCGAACCACGGACCTCTGGAATATCGGCCCAGCGTGCAGAAACACACTACACCATAAAGGCACGTTAGGAAAGCAGGAGAAATACCTTATATACTCCCACTTTTAAAGGGTGATTGGGGTTTTTAGGGGACCCAGTCGTCAAATCCTGGGTGAGGAGAATCATCATCTCACACCCTTTTAGTTTGGGTACCCTGTAGAGACATTACGTATTTTTTTGGAAGCAGGCAAGATGAAAAATTAGAAAACACCTTCACCGGGAATCGAACTATGGATCTCTGGAATACCGGCCCAGGGCACAGACCACCACACCATGAAAGCACACCAAGAAGGTGGGAGAAATACCTTACATATTCCGCCTATTAAAGGGCGACTTGGGGTTTTTAGGGGACTCAATCGCCAAATCCTCGGTGTGGAGATTCCTCCATCCAACACTGTTTTAGTTCGAACACCACTGTAAAGACATTAGGATTTTTTTGGAGGCCAGAGAGATTAAAAATTAGCAACAGTCTTTGTTGGAAATCAAACCACGGACCTTTGGAACACCGGCCCAGCATGCAGAACCACTACACCACGAAGGCGGGAGAAATACCTAATACAGCATTACATACTTAAGTTAAGCCAGAAGTGTTGGCTTGCGTAAACCCAAGTTAGGTCAGTGTTCAAAATAAAAGGGCTATTAACAACCTTCTTCTGATTTTGTCTGTCTACAGTTTAAGAGAAGAATATACTTCTTCTGTAGTCTTTCTAGAGCTCATTACTTTATGCTACAAAAGAAAGTGAGACTCTATAAATGCACAACTTTTCCCTCATGTTCACTGATGATTATGCATGGAAAAAAGAAACATCAACAGATGCTAATGCTGAGAAGACAACTTTAGCAATCTTGTGACAGAAAATAACAGGTGCAAAAGTAAGACAATTATTTAGTACAAATCTGATGCAATAACATAGATTTATTTGCAAATTAAAGAACTTAGTGATAGAATAAAATTGCATATTAAAAAATGAAATTCAGAACAATAATTACTTAAGATTAAAAGGAGAAATAAAAATGTTAAAAATATAATTTTAATGGAATCAGGTGAACAACCAAAATATAAGTATCAAGAGAAACTTTAGAACCTATTATTCTAAAAAATAGAATAAAAAATAACGAAAAATATTAATGAACATATAATAAATGAAAATACGGCCAATGCAAGTCTTGTCACTATCAAGCAAGGCCAGAGATGCCTCGTGGTACCCCAGCACACATTTTGGGAAGCTCTGGTTCAACAAATAATTTTTCATATTTATGCAATAGTCAAAAAATAGTTATTGAAGATTAACCATCAATTAATAACGGGAGCAATTCTTCTGCATACAGCAATAAAACACTCCTGATAGGCTAAACAAAACATGATGTATAAATGAAATCTCAAAATACAATGCCACAACAGTACGACTCATAAATTTACAGTTTATGCTTATTTTGTTTTACTTACTTCATAAAATAAAATATTTAATATCATAATTTTGAAATAAAAATGCATTCCCTGCTCATTTAAAAATGTATTTAAACTCACAATTTTTTCCTCCACAGCATAATACTATATCATTCACCCAATCAGTATGATGTTCCATAGACTGGATATACGGTTCCTAGAGAGAAGAGAAAAGTACACATTCATACTATAATTATTAAGTAAAAAATCAGGGCTTTCTGAAAAGTTGTCAACCACTGGCATATAATTTTCAACCAAGCTAAGACACGAAAAGCAACAATCATTTTCAAAAATAGTGATTCAATAACATAACAAAAAATTTTTAAATGCAAGAAATATCTATACCAAAACATTTATTTTTTCACTGCATTGCTTTTCCCCACATACACAGTGATCTGTTTTTGCTAAAAAAAATATCACAGAATTGCATCACAAACTGGGCATTGCACACACTGTTGTTTTTCCCTATATATAATGAGCTGATTTTACTTCAAAAAATCCAAGAAATGTACAAAGTCAGCATCAGTACACAAATTTTGATCTATAAAATTTGATCATTTACAAAGCTGAACTTCATAATATGCAAATTTTTGCATTCTACTGTTCGGTAAAATGCCATGTTTCTGAAGCAACCACGAACAACAAACAAACAAAAAAAACGCACACTCAGCACAAACAAACAAATTTTATGCTGGAAATCAACAACTGTTTGCAGCATGCACACAATACCAGGGTTACCACATAAATACATTTTGGTGGGTTGCCTATTTTGGTGCCATTTGTGAATACTTTTAAGGGGGTGCGGATATTCAGAAAGTACCAAAAAGTCTTGAAATTTCAAAATAATCAACACTAAACAGAATTATTTCAATGTGATTAACCCTTTGTGGCACAGTGTGTCCGGTCTGGACACACCTATAAATTTCCTTCTGAACACACAAAAAAATTGAATGAAAAAGGATTTATAGGTTATTATAGGTTACTCTGAACCTTCTTTATTTATAGTAGATAGCAGCTCAACACAAACCAGTCCATACATTTCAACCATGTTTAGTTTTTTAAGATCCTCATTTTTCAAAGAAATCTTCCAGATTTTTTTTAGGGTATAAAAGGAATCGTTTGAAAAGAAATTTCTATTTTTTTTTTTTTTTTTTTTTTTTTGGCTGTATGCCAATCTCCTTATTCTATACTAGTTTTAAATTTTTACCTTGAAATCTTGCCTAAAACAGCGAATCCTAGGTGTGTCCAGACCGGGCTCACCGATCATCTAGGAGAACTGAGAGTCTGTACTCTTCTAGGCCTAATTAGATTGCCTACCTTTTTTTTTAATCAAAACTCCAATTTTAAAAGGTAGCATGCCAGAAAAGGTTAAAAAAATACTCTGCCGAGATATGTATTCTAGGGGTATGAAAATACATTTAACAAATTATAATAATGGTGAAACAGCTCTTAAAAATTATCAGTTTGAAATATTACAGTTTATATCAATTATATTAATTATATCAATAGAGATTAATTACACAAAAATAAAGCCAAATTATTATGTACAATCACTCTTTTCAGTCTACTCAATTTGTTACGCAACTATAATTTGAAAGATACATTAAAAATCTTTAAAAAAATTGAATGGCAACATAATGATAAGATGGCTATTTATCAAACTACGTAGAATTAAAAATTTCATGCCTCTTAGAATGGAAAATGCTTACCAAATTCGGTGAATGATACATACTCTGGTAAGAAATAAAAATATTGCCATAGAAAAATTGGCAAAGAAAAACTGCCTCAGAGAAAACATCTTACCCACAGAAAAGTTTTTTTTTTTTTTTTTTTATTGTTTCGTTATTTCACTTGAACTCAATTCAGTAAAGGATTGATTAAGTTAATTTCAGCAGACTTTGAAGTAATTCTTAAACATACAACTTTCCCTGCAAGTAAAGTAAACGTGATAAAGAATGCACAAATTTTCTTTCATAAATTTGTAATTTTAATTTACTCTTTATTGCTAATAGTGTTATTAATCCAATGGTATATGTGTGGAATTTAATGATAGTAATAGCACAGGCATTCATTTTAGGATATTGCTAAGAAGTTTTTAAGTAATGGATTAATTTATTTTGACTATCATTTAAGAAGCGAAAGCAATTTTGTTGTTAAATACACTTGCTTATTATATCATCAACCATATTCAACAAAAATAGTAACCAAACAGTACAATTTAGCAACAACAATGGATAAGCATGATCAAAACACATTTATTAGAACTTTGTTTCGATTTTATTAGCCCCAATTAATCCTCAACAAACCAGTTAAGTTTTTGTAAAACAGGATATAAGTCAATTTTTATTTGTTTTTTCTCATGCATTTTAGGAAGAAAAGGATTAAAATTTGGAATCAACCTTGCATAGAACATCAAGCAGTGCAATATTTTCAAAATTACAGGTTAACTGTTACTTACATTTTAACTTTTATTTACAGGTTCAAAATTAGTTTAACTGGTATGCATACTCAAAACATTGAAAAACTCATCAAAATGGTGCAATAAGATACCATGGAATGATATGACCCTACTTAGATTTGTATTTAAGTGAATTTGTGAAGATGGAGAGCTATTAGGAGACTAGAGGCAGGACAAAGTCAAACAGAAATGGCCAGATGTCTAAATGTGAGTTCTTCAGTAGTTCATAGACTTTAGCAACAATTTCTAAACGAAGATTTGGCATCCTGGAAGTTTAGCCAAGAATGGCCAACAGCTAAGATGAGTGCCAATGACCAATATTTGCTGTTATGCACATGAAGGAATAGAACTGCAACTCGACTCAGAACCTCCCTTGCTGCAGCCACCAGAAGGTAGCTGTCAACATCAACTGTGAGCAGGAGGCTGCACAAAGGTGGTCTGTATGCGAGGTGACCGGCCATTTGTTTGCCACTCATGTTACATCATTAAAAGGGAACGTTTTTTGAGGTGGGCATGTCAACATGTCCACGGGATGGCTGATCAATTATAGGGCTGTTCTCATTATGGATGAGAGCCTTCAAAGCGATAGGATGTGTTACACGATTTGGAGATAACTTGGAACCTGTTATTATCCATCAAGCATCCTTAAAAGAGATGCATCTGGAGAAGGCAATGTCTGTAATTGAGGTGGTATTCTCTTTGGGTGGACACACACAGACTCCGATGTCTTTCCAAACAGAACCATGAACACTTAGATCTATAGAGATGATATCCTTGACGCTTATGTGCACCCATATACGGGGGCAGTAGATGATGATTTCCTGCTATAGGATGACAACGTTAAGACTGCACAGGGCTCAGATCACAGATGATTACCTTCAGCAGCAAACAATTCAGCACATGGTGCAGTCAGCTTGATCACCAGGACCTGAATCCTATCAAACATGTTTGGGATACTTTGGGAAAAAGAATAGTTCTCAGTTCTATTCATACCCACGCTATGTTTGCAACTGCTTTGCAAAAGCAATGGCTCTCAGTTCCTACGAAACTTATAGACTGTATAATTGACAGTATTACACATCACTGTGCATGTGGTATTGCTTCTAGGGGAGACTTTATTCTGCATTGAGGACAATTTTAGATACTGTTTTGTTATCGGGACTAGATTAAAAAATGTATGAAAGTGTGTTTGTCTGTATGTGCATATATGTATACACACACACATTTGTACTTACATATACACATTCATACATAGATTTCTGAACCCGGTCCTGATACAGAATAGTACCCAATTTTATTATGCTAAAGTGACACACACGATTTTTTCATTTTATACTAATTCCTATAATTATCTGATAATTTCTTTTCATGTTATTTTATACCTTACTATGTGTTGTATACTGTGGATCAGTTTGTCATTTTTGTGATTTGTCCTTAATTAATGTTAATCAGTGTATATATTTTTACAGTTACCGTCTTGTTAAAGAGGCCCCTACATAACCCTATTTTGATATTTGAAATTTGCCTACTATAGATTGAGCTGTTAAGTTCGCCAATTTTGCTGATTATATCAGCAACCACTTTAGCAAGAAAGAACCAAAAACTACAACTGCTTTGTTTTAAATAATTTTTCATGTAAAAGTGCATTTTAAAAGTTATATTTAAATACAAATAAAATGAACTTAATGTTCCAAACAAAATTCAGATATGACATATAATCTGTGTGATTCTTGGTCCCAAAAAGAACAAATTATCATAATTCTACTGTTGTATACCTAACAAAATGCATGTGCGACACACTGAAACTGTAAATTTATGGATTTCTCACAATGTTTAATGACCTATTTTTCTTGTTGAAAATGTACATTTATAACCCTTAAACGCTATATTTATACACAGTTCTCTCTTAGGAATCAAAATTAATTTTATATTCTATAGCAAAAAGCTTGAAACTAACTGTCAAATTGATAAAAGGAAACAAAATTATATTTTATGTCAAATTGCACCTATTTAAATAATCAGAAATATTTTAGAATTTATGAGCCTTAAATTTTAAAAATCTCAGTGAAGTCGGAGTAAGAAAATGTTTATATCAATTATATTACCTGAAGCCATAAATGCAATTATTTATATTAGTTTGAAGCCCATCTATATCATTATTATAAATTATATCTATCATTATTGTAAATTATTTACATTATCTGAAGTCATAAATGCAATTCAATTGTTAAAAATGATAATTTCATTGCACAACTTTAATAATAAAACGCAAGAAGTAATGATGCATATAAATTTTTCCCTCCAAATCAAATTTTTCTCTTTACAGCATAATTATGGGGAGGCAAAGAAACTAAAACAAAGCAAACTTATATAATAATAAAAGAAATTAAAGCAGACTTGAATAATTTTACTACAAAGTAATACTCAATTTTTGATTCAAAGTACCTTCAAATTTCGGACATTCCATATCCTAATAATAGAATCACGACCAGCCGAGTATAACCTACCAAGATACCCGTCAAATTGAAGTGAATTAACCCCTGATCTATGATATTTTTCAACTTCGTCACGGATAACAAATGAAACCTATAAAAGAAAAATTTTAGATTACTAGTAAGTAAACTATAACTAATTATTCACTAAATTATAATGCATTTTCCACAAAGAAAAAGTTATAAAGCAGGAAAATCTATATTTACAGAATCTCTTATAAATAATAACAAAATAAGGGACATATAGAACTACACTATCCGACACGGAAAAACACGAAGCAACATATCTAAGTACAGAGTCAACGAGACTACGGATGGTGTCCTGAAGAATGGCTCTCCCTTCCCTCTCAACCATTTGCCATAGTCTGTCTCTTGAATGTGGTAAAGGCAGGGTCTTCATTCAATTACATCCCCAAAGTGTTTGATTGGTGAGAGATCACGAAAGAACGGAGGCCAGGGAAGCATCTGTACAACTTGCACAGCACGTTGGCTCATGCGAGCAGTGTGTGGTTAGGCACTATCCTGCTGATAAAGGGGACCGGCCACAGCACATCATCCACATATCATTCAGCTATCATAATGCCCTGAATACGAACTAGAGGTGACCTGGAATCATACGTAACTGGTCCCAAAACATGATGCTGCATTATCTCGCGGTGTGGCGTTCCACAGTTGTAGCCAGATTGTACCCATCTCCTCAATGACGCCACATTCGTACACAGTGACTATCACTGCAAAAACAGAAGTATGACTCATCTGAGAACATGACCCTGTGGCACTCTGTCAGCCACATAGCTCGAACCGGGCATCATTACAGACATTGATGTCTATGATGGGGTCAATGGCAGTTTTCTTAATGCCACAAGTGCAGGTCATTAACCATTAATAGATAGCAAATGGTTCTGGTCAATATGGGAACATCCAGAGCGTCTTGAATATGCTGCAGAAAGGAGGCAGAAGTGGCTTGTAGGTGCACCACTGCTTGTCAGTGGATGCATAGATCCACACATGCTCATGTCACTGTGGCTGCATTGGCACCCCTCAAACTTGCCAATTTTCCTCACTTTAACCATTGTCGCCACAGCCGGTGCACTATGGATGCATCCAGGTGTGTGTCAGCTGAGATTTGCCATGTGGAGCAGCCTACCCTCCTCAGACTGATCACAATGCCCCTCATCTGTCTGCTGGAATTGCTTCCGTTGACAATGGCCTGGCATTCTCTGCTATTTACACACATCCTCTGAGACAAGAAAAAATTTTCTATTATGATTACCCTAGCAGAAATAATGGCACGAAAATTGAACATTCTCCAGGTTCCTTCCCTAATATCTTCAATGTGTGGAGAAACCAGAAACAAATTTAATTTATATCAGGATAACGATTCTACGCATACTGCCCTCAACGTTTGCCTTTTGGGTGTCTATAATTGTCCACAAGTTTTGAAAACATTACCTCAGTCATTAGATTTTAACCCAACAAAATACATTTGGAGGGAATTGGAGGTTAGATTACGAAGAAGCAACATTAAAACAAAAAATGAGCTAAAAACAGTAATGATGGAAGAATGGAGGAACACTAATGCAGATATTAACAAAAAAAAAAAAAAAAAAAAAAACTGGTGAACTCTATGGCCAGACGTTTGAAAGCTGTCATGGTTGATCTTTACAATATGGTAACTGGTAGTTTGGCGACATTTTGGAGGCGATAAAGGTTACTACCTGGGACTTTGGTAATAATGTGAGCAGTACTCGGTTCCGATTACGCATTATTTTGTGTGAGGGAAATGAGAGATCATGGGATATGTCATGTGATATTAATGGACGAATTACGGTCCTTTAATCGGAAAAGGGGGGAAATTGGGAAAAAATCTGGAAATTTTGTATTTGGCTTTATTCTGTGTTGTGTGAAACAGTGTTTGTGAATTTTTGGATCCCATGGCCGTAACTAAAGTGAATTCGAAATGGGTATTTATGTATGTATTAATTTAATGTATGTGCTCATTTATATTTTAAGTAGTGTTTTTGAATTTAATTATATTTTAATTAAATGATAGTTATTTTGTGAATTTTATGTTTGAAGGAATTTGGTATACGTTTTAGTTTGAAGTAAACGTGCATGAAATAATTTAATATCTGACACTAAGTATTTGTAATGGTTTGCGGTATGAATTCGTTGGTGATGTGTATAATGTAATAGATGATTTAGAGCTAAAATTTTTTGGATATTTTATTTATTTTATATGTGGAAATGTTCATATTTTGAAGGGTAAATACTTTTTCGCGATCAGGTAATTTCATATATGTTCTTTTTAAACCGGGTTTAAAGATTGAGAAAATTGTCATGTATTTTCGTGAATTTTTCTAATTTATGAGAAAAAAGCAGTGTAACATGGATATAGTGAAGAGTGTGCGCAATGCCATTTTTTGTGCAATTCTGGGATGTTTTTTTTAAGTAAAAATAAGGTCGACGTGTACATGGTTTAGTGATATTTTAATTAAATTATAGTTATTTTGTGAATTTTATGTTTGTAGGAATTTGGTACACGTTTAAGTTGAAGTAAACGTGCATGGAAATAATTTAAATTTTTGATACTAAGTATTTGTAATGCTTGCGGTCTTAATTCGTTGGTGATGGTTTATGATGTAATAGATGATTTAGAGGTTTTTGGGATATTTATATTTATTTTATATGTGGAAATGTTCATATTTGGAAAGGGTAAATACTTTTTCGCGATCAGGTAATTTCATATATGTTCTTTTTTAACCGGGTTTAAAGATTGAGAAAATTGTCATGTATTTTCGTGAAATTTTTCTAATTTATGAGAAAAAGCAGTGTACATGGATATAGTGAAGAGTGTGAGCAATGCCATTTTTGTGCAATTCTGGGATGTTTTTTTAAGTAAAAAAAGTCGGCGTGTACACATGGTTTATGTGTATGTGTTATTTTGAAAACCGCGTAAGGAGTATGGTATTTGTGCACTTTTTCCCAGTTTTGGCAGTGAATATTTGTCATGATTAAGCAGTTTTTTAGATAAAATTTCTAGCATAAGTGTAATTCGGCTAGCAGATTGTTGCAAAAAATGCTGAGTTAAAAAAAAAAAAAAAAATACACGATCTTTACTTTGTGAAGAACAAAATGGCGTCCGGGAAAACAAAACTAGCAGGGTTGCTTGTAGCACGGTTGGTCACCAAATTTTCGCCAAAAAAACGCCAAGTTACCATAATGTAAAGATCAACCACTGTCATAAATACTATATTACATATGTATATACTACAGAATACTAACTGACAGGAATACTATAATATTTCTGAATATGTGCAGGTTCCTTTAAAGCGTACAGACTTTTGTGAGGAAACTTTTCTGTTACTTTTTTATTATTCTTTTTCCAAACAAAAGTTTTAATGCTTATAAAATAATTAATGTAGATTTGCTCAGAGAAATTTATGGATATTATTTTAAAAATTTCATTCTAAAATATTAATTTTGGAAAAGTGCAGAATCACCCACTGCTTGGCGCGTTTTTAAGAATTGCACGTACTCGGTATCCATGTACACAACAACCTATTTTTACTTTAAAAAAATCCCAGACTTGCACAAAAATGGCATTGCACACTCCCTTTACTTCATCCATGTATACATCGACTATTTTCACTTAAAAAATCAAAGAAAATCAACAAAAATCCAATTCTTCTTACTCTTGCAAAAAGTGCCAAACAAATAAGTGGGCGATTCTGCACTTTACCCTTAATTTTTATTGAAAGCACTTCCACAGAGAACCCGGTAAATGTAAACATCGCCAACTTTGGTGATAATAGTTCAAACCTGGTAATCCATCGGATTTATCCTATTTGCTTGTAAGTTTGCAAACATTCCTCTTGCATTCATTTTGTTGAATTATCACTGTTGTTCACATTTGCAGATTTATATTATTCTTCTCTTATTTACTATTATTTTTTCTGAATTTTTTAACAACGAGTAGATAGAAATATTTTCGTAGATAGATGCCAGTTCTCGGTTCAGGATGAAAGGAAAAAATACCGAGAGAGGGGTAATGCTAACTTGTAACACGACTTTTCACGTTGTGTTCTTAATTATTAACGGCTCTAAGAACAACGAGCAGAACCATGAGGTTTCCAACCTCTAAAATAATTTGTTTTCATAGGCCGCAAAAATGTGCAAGTGCATTTTAAATAATTAAGTAATGCTTTTAATTTTTATTATTGGTTATTGTCATCTACAATTATGAGAATAAATCAATTTTATGGCGTAAAATTTTAACAAGATAATATATTATTAATGCTTTTCTAACAATAACCTCTCAGATGATAGCAGGTGTGACATAAATAGATGATTAAATTGAAATAAAAAATATTATTGATTATCTAAGATGACAGAATAGTTTCATGCATCACCATGGTCATCAAAATTAGCAAACTACTGCTGGTGTAATGAATATATCGTTTTCTATGTTAACTGGAATTTAAGACAAATTTTTTTTTCGTATATCACATTTAACCGGTTAATTTCAGTAGATTAATAATTATTTATATTTCCATTATAAATGCTTATACAGTCAAAAGTCGTTAATCCGGACTCGTCGGACTTTGGTGATTCCGGATTATAGATCATCAGTTTAAATCTGGTAAGATGGCATGCAGAAATTATAAAATTAAAAATATGAAGCCATAATTTATGAAATAAAAAACAATTATGATCTAAAGGGTATCAAATTTACAAAAAAAAAAAAAAAAAAGCTTAATATTTATTTGTTTACTTTATTAAACATTTCTTTCAATAAAGTTTGTTAAGTTGCTTCGTTTCATGTGATAATACTTTCTCAATCTATGAACAGACATAATTTCTTCTTCAGTTACAAGTTCCGCTGTTCAAGTCCTAATTGCTGTGGCGAGAACACCGACTAATTTGTCAAAATTTTTTCGTTTTCAATAACCTCTGTGTCACTTTCTTCACTATTGGAAGCGAATTATAATGAGGAGGAATTAGATTTAAATCATATCAAAGACGGAGAGATGAACTACTACATTTAGTAAGGAATTATAAGCCAAATAAAATAAAAACATCTGCCTTGAAGATAAGGATAGTGCTGACAGATCAACTTCCAATTTATTGCGCGCCACCGTATGCTTAATATATTGTTTTGTCCGCTAACTTAAATTTACATGCACTAAAAATCACGCTTACAAAATATCACCTTCACGGCTCGGCTCATCGTCGATAAACCGCGAGCTTGGCGAGTAAAAATGTAACGGCGCCAACGGGTTCTTTCCCGAAGCGCCAACGGGTTCTCTGGGGATGAAAACTCTTTTTATTAATGAATAAAGCGATATTTTACTGAAACTCGTAAATATACGAACACTTTTGTGAGCCATTGTATATTACAAATGAAAGATGGTTTATTTTAGATATAACTCTAATTATTTATACTATTTAGAATTGCTTCATCAGTTAGTTAGGCAGTTATACATAATATTTACATCTCATACATATGAAATGTCAAGGAAATTAAGTAAACAAATTTCCACAAAATATATACCTGAACTTTCTTACGCATTCCATGACCGCTTGCCTGTCTATGGTGCGCCATACTTGTTGGTGCGGGAGTCAACATTGTTGATTTATTGTCCTAATCTAAATTGAATCATTAAACGATTAAACAAGCATGAAAACTGGAAAAGAAATCCTTTCCGATTATTTTTTTACAAGCATTACCCATTGCGAAGCAGATAGACAGACAAAGTAGACAAATGTCTTGTTTTGCACCCGATAAGTCTTCCTGCACAGATGGGCGAAAATCAAGCTTGGTGCGAAGGAAAGGTATATAGAAAGGGGGGGCAATTTCGGTTTCCAGAGGAGAGTAAAAAGA